GTGTGTGAGTGAGTGAGTGAGTGAGTGAGTGAGTGAGTGAGTGAGTGAGTGAGTGAGTGAGTGAGTGAGTGAGTGAGTGAGTGAGTGAGTGAGTGAGTGTGTGTGTGTGTGCGCGCACGTGCGAGAGTGTGTGTGAGATTCACCCACCTAGTGACCATAAATAATAATTACATAATGATGTTAAAAATAAAACATTATCACTAGAATATAGAATATATAAAAGCTTAATATCAAATATATAATTTTTGTCAGATATTTCTGTTACTATCATAAAAATAATGTCATAAAAAGTTGTGCAAATAATGCTTTTTTTTTTTTTTTTATTGTGTGCCATTTCAGGTATTATTCTGTCTTCTGTACGTAAATATCAAATTAAAACAACATGCATATTTATGATGCCTCTCTCTTTTTTTAAATAATAATAAACATCTTGCAGATTCTTCAAGGCTCTTGCAAACACACACATTCACTGTGAACAGAGCATTACTACTTCAGTTGTCCAGGTTAGCCTATAAAAACCTGTGGTTCCTAATTTGTTTAGTCAAATTGTGCTTGTTGTTTAATGTAGGTTAAAGAGTCTGTTTCTATATGATTCAGACCTGCATTAGCAGACGCGTCTAATACAACAGTGACCGCTACAATCAACACTAACCAGCTCAGATCTTTAAACATACTGTACATACTGTACATGAACTAAAGCCAGTGCGTCTGTAAACTCTTCTTATGAAAGCTGTCAATCAATATTTGCTCACTAGTGAACATTAAACAGTGAGCAGAAAATAAGCGAAATAACAAGATAAGACACACTTAATGCATGAAAATCTATTGTTTTTTTTGTTTTTTATCTATTATGTTTATGTATAAAGTCTGTTTTCAAAAAGTAAATAATAATTATAGAATATATCCAGCATTTCTGGCACCGTCCACAAATATTAATATTGAATGGCGAAGCATAATTTCATTTGTTCAATAAAAAAGTTTTTTAAAAAAGGGAAGATGCACTGATAAAGAAATTTTACCCACTAATTGTTTTTATGTTATATTTAAATATATAAAAAAATGTATATTGGATATTAAAATCTAGAATTACACATGCTTAAAAAAAATCAGGAATCAAAATGTTATATGTATAACAATTTAAAGCAGAAAAGATGGAGAATGGCTTTTGAATCTTTGAAATTTGCCAGAAAGGAATACTATATTATTTTAGCTTAAATAAAGAAACTGAAATATATTCATATATCATCAGCATTGATTTACTATAGTTTTTGTTAATTTTTTTTATTATATTTAATTTTTTATATTTTCTGTTTTCAGATTAAATTAAAAGCTTGAATATTTTTGTGGTGTGTTTCTTTATCATGTTCATCAGTTTTTTTTAATAACTATGTCTATATAGTTTTTAGTTTAGTTTATTTAGCTTTATTTATTTTAGTTTTGCTTTGGCAACTAGCTGAAATAAAATAAGTTTTAAAAAATATATAATAATTATACGCTAATAATAACATGGATACATATTCATAAAAATAGAAATTTCACGATACACCTGAGATATATATGTGCCACCCTTACTCAGTCTTTTAAGATCAGATTAAGCAGACCAATTTTTTAAAATATGTATACTGTATATATATACAGTTGAAGTCAAAATGTACTTCAGAATCTGCAAAATGTTCATTATTTTACCAAAATAAGAGAGATCATACAAAACGCATGTTATTGTTTATTCAGTACTGACCTGAATAAGATATTTCACATAGGGTTACGGTTCAGAAAATTCCTTCAGGTCCCACAAATTCTTTGGTTTTCCAGCATTTTTGTGAATTTGAACCCTTTCCAGCAGTGACTGTATGATTCTGAGATCCATCTTTTCACACTGAGGACAACTGAGGGACTCTTATGCAACTATTACAGAAGCTTCAAACGCTCGCTGATGCTCCAGAAGAAAAAACAACGCATTAAGAGTCGGGGGGTGAAAACTTTTTGAATTTGAAGATCAGGATCAATTTAACTTGTATGTGACCCTGGAGCACAAAACCAGTCATAAGTGACAATTTTTCAAAATTGAGGTTTATGCATCATCTGAAAGCTGAATAAATGAGCTTTCCATTGATGTATGGTTTGTTAGGATAGCACAATATTTGAAAATCTGGAATCTGAGGGTGCAAAAAAATCTAAATATTGAGAAAATCATCTTTAAAGTTGTCCAAATGAAGTTCTTAGCAATGCATGTCACTAATCAAAAATTCAGTTTTGATATATTTACGGTAGGAGATTTACAAAATATCTTCATGGAACATGATCTTTACTTAATATCCTAATGATTTTTGGCATAAAAGAGAAATGTATAATTGTGACCCATACAATGTATTGTTGGCTATTGCTACAAATATCCCCCAGCGACTTAACACTGCTTTTGTGCTCCAGGCTCACATACATATAAAAAGCGATATTTTATTGTTTTTAGAATCCATCAAATGAACTAACACGTAAATGTAAAGCCTGTTTCTATTGCGTGAGTTCCAGTCTGACGCTCTTACCTGTGGATTAGTGTTTGATTTCTCTCACTTCAGCTCCTCCACCTCATCTCTCAGCAGACCCTGATCCGCACAGAAACACAGTATATGAGCGCAGTCATTGTGCTGTTTGATCAGCGGGTGTGGAGGGAAACACATGACAGACGCTGCTGATGTGGAGATCGTGAAGAAACTCTTCCTGCAGCACGTCGTGACATGAGAGCATTCATGACCTACATCTCAACATGCCAGGATGGATCAGATGCCAGCGCCCACATGCAACAAAAGCACTAGTTATAATAGCAAGGGCTTGTTTATCCATGAAAACCTGACTTTAGGGGTGTGCAGAATTTTATGCAACTATTGCATACTATTTATTAAGCCAAAATGCATCAGGAACGCCCATTTTTGCAATGTTTACTCAAGTGTTATATACCTAGTCATATCCTTTAGGACAAAGTTGAGAAACTACAGTCTTTTTTTTGTGGCCAGCTAACAAAATATGTTTATGAACATTTTGCTGACATTCCCACATTATTTGTTAAAGTTTAGAACGTTTAGAATGTCCAGTTTTAAAAAAAAAAAGTGTTTTAAAGGAACATTCCATTTGATCATTTAGCAAACATTGTGGCAACGTTACTTTGAATGTTCTCTGAACGTATTGAAACAAGTAGTAACATTTAGACCATCATGAGTGTTGACGTAACATTTTTATGCGAACGTTTTTAGAACATTGTTAACTTTGAACGAAGTTCTATTGAAGTTATTAGAAGAACATTTGTTATATTTTATTAACTATAATAACCTTGTTGCCCGTCACTTGACTAGTTGAACTTGCAACATTCGCAAAATCTTCCAGGCATGATATTCATAAATTAACCTAATTTTGAGAAATAAAAAGTAAATAGAAATAAAGAAATTAAAAAAAGACAACACTCATTGATTTTAAGATGCAATTGCGGAATGTAAAGTCACAAATACTAGAATTGCTAGAAAACGCCTTGACATGAGACGCATGCTTCCAGAGAGATGATAACGTTTGTGCAGAAATTACATCCAATATAAGTTATAAGTTGTTATACAGTTAAAGAAAGCTCACCTTAAACGTTTCGCCTCTTCATCAAGCCCAAGTTCATGCAAAATCCATGTCCAGGAATGTCACGCTCTGTTTAGACAAGCAAAAGATCAGCCTTAACACAGCTCCTACATTTTTATGCACGGGTTTTGTGCAGCCTGATCAAGACACGAACATTTGAACTCAAGAGAAAATCAATGCATCTCAATGCTATTTCAGTATGCTGAAGGATTCAATAGCTGAATTTACTGCTATTTTACAAGCACTCGCAGTTAAACTTTACATATTTGTTTCATTAAAACATCCGGATCACCTCAGAATCAAAAGAAAAGAAAATTATATTTGACAAGAAAATGAAGCCTATTAGGACCATCATCATTTATGCATTTTCATGAGAGTAAATCACATTTTCCCTCAAAATTCTCATTACTCTTGAGTTTTCCCCTCTAATTCTCATTATTGCAATTAACTTCGTGTCTTACATAAACAAAATAGTGTTAAACAATCTTGATTTAACTCACTATAAATTAAAATCAGGACAGGGTTATTAGAATGAACTAAAACTAAAACTAAATAATTATTGTTACTTGAAATAAAATAAACGTTAACAAAGTAAAAATAAAAAATCTAATTTTATTTTAATTTAAGTACTACAATAATTAAACATAAAACAGAAATAATTAAAATAATCATTTATAATATTTCAAAATAGTAATAATAATAACACAACAAAATTACTAAAACTTTAACAAAATGTAACTAAGTACTAAAATAGCTAAAACTGAAATAAAAATGACTAAAATATATATTTAAAAAGACTAATAAAACATGACTAAATCTTTAACTAAATTTAACTTTATGTACTAAAATAACTAAAACAGAAACTGACATAAAATTATATACAGACATTAAAAAAATAAAAATGACAAAAATAACAACAATAAAATGACTATAACTTTCAATGAAAACAGAAAGTACAACAAATATTAACAAACCCTATAATGGTATATCAATGACACTAAAATAGCACTGTACAGATGCAACTAAAACGTAATTGTTTGTTAAATTGTAAGGTTTATGCATCAGCTGAAAGCTGAATAAATAAGCTTTTCATTGATGTATGGTTTGTTAGGATCGGACAATATTTGAAAATCTGGAATCTGAGGGTGCAAAAAAATCTAAATATTGAGAAAATCATCTTTAAAGTTGTTCAAATGAAGTTCTTAGCAATGCATATTACTAATCAAACATTAAGTTTTGATATATTTACGGTAGGAGATTTACAAAATATCTTCATGGAACATGATCTTTACTTAATATCCTAATGATTTTTGGCATAAAAGAGAAATGTATAATTGTGACCCATACAATGTATTGTTGGCTATTGCTACAAATATCCCCCAGCGACTTAACACTGCTTTTAACGTCACAATTGTCATGAAAATCTGGTCAGGAAACCGTCTTAAACATGTTTCATGTCCTTTAAATCATTTAAAGTCATTAATACAGTTAGCTTTTGGGGTGAAATATGACCCAGACGAGTTGCATGTCTGACCCTGGCAGCGGAAACAAGACAGCATTAGACAGCATTAGGCTGCCTGACAGCATTAGAAGTAAATGCAAACGCTCGGGCCCCAGAGAACCGGAAAGACGAGGACAAAGCCGCTCACCTCTGTCGAAAACCACATGTTCTTCAAGAGCTCGACCTCCTCAATCCTTCACCTGTCCTAACCTAAGTCACCAAAACAGAGACCAACACCATCCAGAACCAGCAGCTTCACTTGGAAAAGAAAGAGTGAGAAAAGCAAGACAGAGAGAGAGAGAGAGAGAGGTTTTCGGTCCTACCTGAGGATCGCAGCAGCGCTCATGAAGGTCTCTCACACACACACACACACACACACACTCGAACATGTAGATCTGCGTGCTGCTGCATGTTCTGAGGGTTTGGGAGCGTCTCTATCCACGCTGAGTCACTCACATTACAGACTTCTAGTGTGCTGCAGGCCGTTAAAGTGGCCAGAGATGCACCAGGGTTTAGTCACCTCCAGAAGGAGCAACCTAGAAGAAACACCATCAACCAGATCTCTTTAAGACGTCTGCTAAATCTTTACCTGATCGAGTGTTTCCGGTCAAAAAAGGCCCGCCTTTTAAAAATTGTTTGTAAATCTCCCATTATGCGATATTATCACCAAATCTTGGATTCAGTGTTTTTGAAAGATGAAAATGTTATTTAATGCTATGACATTGGAAACCTAGTATCTTTCCTCACACACGGTTTAACAACCAACCAAAATATATTGGTAACTATTGTACTTTTCGGGGGATTTTATTACCGATTTTTTTCATGCAATCTTATTGTCAAATTGTTTTCTTTCAATTATTGCATTTCTTGTTGGAAAACTCAATGAGATCAATAAGACCTTCAATATCAAACCTTCAAGGTCAGTAATTGTTTTGTTAATTTTTGTACTTTTTTGGGATGTTTGTGGTGTTCCGTGACAAACCCGCCAACAAAAAAATTGTTTGTAAATCTCGTTATGTAATATTGTTCCCATATTTTAGATTCAATCTTTTTGTCAACTTGTATTCTTTCATGTAGCACTGATTTTGCTTTTCTTGTTGGAACTGGTTAATCATACGCCTCTTGAACTGAGCGGATGCACCTCAGTTTATGAGTGAAAAAAACATTATTTGTGGATAATTTTGACAATATTCATATTAGACCTATGATCAACCAGTTCCAAAATATAACCGGCATTTTAAAAACTGCTTGTAAATCTCTTACTATGCTATATTATGACCAAATGTTCGATTCAATCTTTTTGAAAAATGCAAGTGCTAGTTAACATTTGAATTTTTTACATTAGACTAAACTGTACTGACTTTGCTAACACGTACAACAGCTTCCGGCCAAAGAAAAAATATAATTTTTGTACTTGTTTGGGATGCACATGGTTGTTAGAATTGACGGCTCAATTTTTTCAGAGAAAAATATGCAATTTGGTGCAGATGCTGATATCTATATGGACAAAAACCGATGCTTGTCAATGTAAATCAATGAGATCTTTCTAGCAGTAGCAGATATCAGTCGTCACTCTATATCTCCAACAATGTCTTAAGATGAGATTTAAATGATCCAAACATATAATGCAATGCAACCCAATGCTGATTGAGAGATAAGCATGAAATCAAACATGAGATCAAAGCACTTTCCACCATCAGGATCCTAATTAAACTGCTGTTGCCATTTTATAAACTTAGATTTTTACTCAAGCTTTTTGAAAATCCTCAATAAATGAATGGACATGGACTCCAGACCCCTAAAACAACTTCCAAAACAACAAAAGAGGAAGAGGAACTGCAGCATGGAACATTTCTGGACCACTGAAGAATTTGTGACACGCCCCAGACGTGTCGAAGATCTGCAGCGACATGCTGCATCTGATGCGCTTCAGGAGGAAACCAAGCCAAATGAGTCACTCATACTCTGATATTATTTTACAATTATTAGGTAGGCTTCAGAAAGCTTTTTATTCTTCTTCGACTAAATTTCTGAAAGCTACTCCTCCAAAGAGCTTTCAAGCTAGAACCACCAAACTCAGCCCAGCTCTTCAGACGGATCTGACTTAGTGTGCTTTATCTTTTCTAACTGATCCGACTTACGGTTTTCATAAAAATCCCATAGACTTACATTGACGGAATGTTCAGATGAGCCAAGACTTTGACTCGATCAAGCGTCCCTTCTATGTACTATTTCTAACCCATTCAAACTCTATCTATCGTGCTATCGACATGCTAGAAACTCGCTAATCATGTTAACAACATACATTTCTGGACCACTGAAGAATTTGTGACACGCCCCAGACGTGTCGAAGATCTGCAGCGACATGCTGCATCTGATGCGCTTCAGGAGGAAACCAAGCCAAATGAGTCACTCATACTCTGATATTATTTTACAATTATTAGGTAGGCTTCAGAAAGCTTTTTATTCTTCTTCGACTAAATTTCTGAAAGCTACTCCTCCAAAGAGCTTTCAAGCTAGAACCACCAAACTCAGCCCAGCTCTTCAGACGGATCTGACTTAGTGTGCTTTATCTTTTCTAACTGATCCGACTTACGGTTTTCATAAAAATCCCATAGACTTACATTGACGGAATGTTCAGATGAGCCAAGACTTTGACTCGATCAAGCGTCCCTTCTATGTACTATTTCTAACCCATTCAAACTCTATCTATCTTGCTATGCGACATGCTAATCGTGCTATCGACATGCTAGTAACTCGCTAATCATGTTAACAACATGCTAATCATGCTAGCAACATGCTAATGATGCTAGAAAAATGCTAACGACATGCTAGTTATTTGCTAATAATGCTAACGACATGCTAGTCACTTGCTAATCATGCTAGCAACATGCTAGTAGCATGCTAATCATGCTAACAAAATGCTAATGATGCTAGAAAAATGCTAACGACATGCTAGTAACTTGCTAATCATGATAACAATATGCTAGTCACTTGCTAATCATGCTAGTAACTGGCTAATAATGCTAACAACATGCTTGTCATTTGCTAATCATGCTAACAACATGCTAATGATGCTAGTAAAATGCTAACGACATGCTAGTAACTTGCTAATCATGCTAACGACATGCTAGTCACTTGCTAATCATGCTAGTAACTGGCTAATAATGCTAGCAGCATGCTTGTCACTTGCTAATCATGCTAACAACATGCTAGTAACATACTAATAATGGTAGAAACATGCTAACAACATGCTAGTAACTTGTTAATAATGTTAACGACATGCTAGTCACTTGCTAATCATGCTAGTAACTGGCTAATAATGCTAACAACATGCTTGTCATTTGCTAATCAAGTTAGCAACATGCTAGTAGCATGCTAATCATGCTAGCAACATGCTAATGATGCTAGAAAAATGCTAATGACATGCTAGTAACTTGCTAATCATGCTAACGTCATGCTAGTCACTTGCTAATCATGCTAGTAACTGGCTAATAATGTTAGCAACATGCTTGTCACTTGTTAATCATGCTAGTAACTGGCTAATCATGCTAACAAAATGCTAGTAGCATACTAATCATGCTAGAAACATGCTAGCAACATGTTAGTAGCATGCAATCATGCTAACAAAATGCTAGTAACTTGTTAATCATGCTAGCCATACGCTAGTAACTGGCTAATCATGCTAACAACATGCTAGTCACTTGTTAGTCATGCTAGCAACATGCTAATCTTGTTAGCATACATGCTAGTAATATGCTAATCATGCTAGAAACATGTTAATCATGCCAGCAAAATGCTAGTAACAGGCTAATCATGCTAAAAACATGCTAATCATGCTAGAAACATGTTTACAACTGCTTTAAACTTTCAGGCGAGGCTTTCTCAAGCCAACCCAAATTTTTTTTATCTAGCTATTATTTTCATGTTTAGATTATTTTGACCCGGGTATGAACGGAGTCCAATTAAGTTGTTTTTGTAAAAGAATCTATTAAGTTATATTAGTGTCAAAAAGCTTTTGTAAAATACATTTAGACTTTTCTCCATATCTCACACACTTCTGGGTCTATTGACGACACATTGCAGCATGAAAACATTGATCTTTTGTTTTTTATCTGAAACTGAAAGTTTAAGCAAGTAAACTGGAATTGTTTTCTTTAAAAACTTTTGAGATACATTTTTACGTTCTTTTGTAAGAAACAAATATGTAGCCTAGGTTTCATAAATTTGGGCAGTTTTTTGTGAAATTATAAAGTCAAAGAAATGTAATTAAATTCCATTCATTCCAATGAGGTAATAGCGGTAATTCTCATATTCTTATAAGTTTTGTATTTGCATTATTTATTTATTTAAAAAAAAAATTGTGTGTAACTCATGTAATTTGATATTTCAAAGAATTTCAAAATGCTTCCATTAATAAAAAAGGGATAAACGCAATTATAAAGTGTTAATATTCAAAGCTTGAACGTGAAAATGTTCACATTCGCCAAATAATGTATGGAGACCCATTTCCGCCACGTAAGAAAAAAAAAATCATGCCTTAAAAAAGTCAAAATTATGACATACTTGAGTCATAATTACGAGATAAAAAGTCGAAATTGACTTAATGACTTTATAAACACGTTAAGCTGTTCTACATTAAGCATTTTCTTGGGGTAGAACATGAAATAAATAAATAAATATAGCGCATATATATATATATGCGTACATATTATATATAAATATATATATTTATTGATTTATTTCGCGTGTTACCCCAAGAAAATGCTTAACGTGCAACTCAGCGCGTTGCGTTTATATTCTGGGCTATATTCTGCTGGTCTGTTAATGGTATATGCTTTATTAATAAGGTTTAAGTAAGTCATAATTTTGACTTAAGGCATTAATTTTTTTCTTACGTGGCAGAAATGGGCCTCCGTAATAATGAGAGGTTGCTGATTAGACACAATAGTCATAGCTGACAAATATTTGAAAGTTACGACTGTTTTATAAAATAACATTTTGAATGCAATATGACGGGGTTAACAAAATACCGATTGTTCAGCTGATGAAATGTCTTCCCAATAAGTCTATTCTTATAGAATTAAAACTTTATTCGTACATGAAGCACATCCCACATTACCGCCAAAAAGCTTTCCCACCATTAACACGGATTTGACAGCAGCTGTGTGTATTATATTCCATGATGTTTGCTAAAGATCAGTTTTTAAGGGCTCTGAATTTACTGTGTGCTGCGAGGAGGCGCGTGATCGATCACATGACATTTACGGCTCAGGTGATGCATTA